GACCAAGCCCCGTTCTCAAGCCCCGTTTATCTGAATGGGGGTCCCCATTAGCTACAGATCTGGGTGAATATTGCAGAAATGAATTTATAGCCTGGCTGAGGTACTATCAGCTATTATTAAGGTTGATGACCTCTTCCCATTTTAAGACCCTACTTTCAATTGCTTATAACGTTGCCAACCATTTAAGCATTTGCTGAGGTTTTCCATGCTAGGTATCTGCCTCAACCTGAGATACGAACATATGACAATTTCATCCAAAATAGTTCATCCAGCTCTGATTACGAGAGTAGGGGGAAAACCTGTTGCTTGCCCATTTTAAAAAATTCTAGCACCCCCATCTCTAGGAGAGGGATTTGGAATTTGGCAGAGGGAGGGTGGCCATTGTGGTAGGGATGTGCCTTTCGCTGCCCCTGTGAAAATCTGGCCAAATTCTCAGCCCTTAGAAAATCACAGCTCGCACATGTCCAGCAGACACTTGCTAGAGCTTAGTAGCTGAAAACGCTGAGGGTTCCATCGTCACTGAGCATGCTCTGTCCCCTCAACAGCGCCATGTGTGACCAGACTGTGTATGCACCATCTCCACAGAACAACTGAGCATGCTCCATCCCCTCACGGCACCTCGTGCTGATCGGTCTATGCATGCGCCATGCCCATGGAGACTGTGCGGTCTCCAGCCCAGGGCTACAGGGGCCACGCCAGACTGGAATGTGTTCCTAGGTCCTCTGAGCCAGGCACCAAAACCAGTGATTGGGACTGGTGGTGGATGGAGGAGAAACTGTGGGCGGGTGGGCAGGGCAAAGAGATTGGGACTGGGAAGTAAGAGGAGAAGAGTGTCGGAGCCTGTCATTCTCCTGTGCTGTCAGTGGCCCCTCTGCTGGCCCCCAGGTGGCACAGAGGGAAAGAAGGAGGCTGATTTCAATGCAGAGGAGCCACACAGTGGACTAAGAAAAGGAGCCGGCTGGGGGGGCTCTGGGCAGATTGGGACTGGTGGTGGATGGAGGAGAAACTGTGGGCGGGTGGGCAGGGCAAAGAGATTGGGACTGGGAAGTAAGAGGAGAAGGGAGGTGTGGTAGGGGCGTTGA